AATAGGAAAACGAAGGTGACATATGTTTCAATAAAGAGGAACCTTGTGGGTGAGAACATTTGAGGTACCAGTTTTTGGGAGAGGAGAAATGGCAACACTAACTAGGTCTATTGAGGAAGAAACGACCCGCAAGCATCCAGGGTCTAATGGAAATGAAAGGGTCTTTCCGGATGCGTGACGAGGCTTTTAATGCCATTCAAGTGTCTCACCAAATTTGGGACAACTGGAAGTAATCATGGAAAGCACCACATTGGGCCACGAAGGAATACTATAATATGTAGATATGGGGAATGGATCAAAACTGTAGGTAGATGGTATTGGGCTTCACGAGTATTTGATTACCATCATTGACAATTTAATTGGTTAGTTAGTAATATAGTTATCTTACTATATTATATCTAACCAAAATCTTTGTAAACAGGGTTATGGCACCCCTAGTGCCTTAATTAATATTAATTCATCTTTGCTGTTTCAAACAAAAAAAAAACATTGTCAGTGCCCCCCTGTCATTGGTCCCTTGTAACATGTGGTCAATAGATAAGTTTTGACCTTCATCATTGCCTACACAATCAGGTATACTGTGACCATTGGGAAAAGGCTTGATGTCATTCATGCAATTGCCTACTTGTTGAAAAGGATAGTCGGACTCGTCAAACACCACGTCTTGAGAAATAAAATATTCCTTTGCCTCTAAGTCAAAGAGTTACCAGCCCTTTTTACCGTAAGGGTATCCAACAAAAACTCTCTTTCGACTTCTACTAGCAAATTTGTCTCCTTTCCTATTATTATCATGTGCATAACATAGGCACCCAAACACTCTTAAGTGGTTAAGCGGTGGGGATTGGCCATGTAATACATCATAAGGTGTTTTCCCATTGAGTACCTCAGAAGGTATTCTATTAATTAAATAACCCGTTGTTAGCACACATTCTCCCCAGAAGCTAATAGGAAGATTTCCCTGAAATCTAAGGGCTCGAGCAACGTTGAGAATATGCCTATGTTTTCTTTCAACCCTTCCATTTTGTTGTGGGGTTCTAATGCAAGAGGTTTGAAAAATGATACCTTGCTTAATGAAGTAATTTTTCATGCAGAGAAATTAAGTACCATTATTGCTTCTAAATACTTTGATGTGTTTATCAAATTGCCTTTTTACTAATGCAAAAAAATTTGTGAGCATACATGACACTTCCCTTTTGTCAACAAGTAAATAAATCCATACACATTACGAGAATAATCGTCTACTATTGTCATAAAATAAAAAGCACCACAAGAAGAAGAGTTTCTATATGGTCCCCATAGATCACAGTGAATCAATTCAAAAATGTCACTTGCATTGTGTTCACTCAAAGAAAACTTGTCCCTTGATTGTTTTTCTCTAAGGCAGACATTGCAAACTTTATTTGATACTGCCTCATACTTATTCTTACCAAGATCAAGAAGTGACCGTGTGACCTTGAAGGATGGATGCCCCAAACGCCTATGCCATAATTCCAATTGATTTACTCCTTTTGCACTGCATGCTTTCACCACCTGTGTTCCATGAAAATAATAGAGTCCATCTCGACATTTACCCGCACCAATCAACATCTTCGAAGAGCGGAACTTATTAGTGAACTGTATAGTGCAATTACATTCATCTAGTAATTGTGAGATTGATATTAGATTGCAACTCAGTTTTGGAACATAAAGAACACTTGTGAGTTTCAACCCCCCTTCCAGAAAAATTGTTCCTTCCTTTACAACATTTGTTTTTGCTCCATTTGGCAACCCAACAGGACATGCCACAATATCATGCACCTCCTGCATTTCTTTTAGATTACCTGTCATATGATTGGAGGCACTAGTGTCAATGATCTATAATGATTTACTTGTCATTTTTTCATTAGCCTCTATTTTGTTCAACAACTCCATGAGTTTCCGCCATTGGTCCGAGGTTAATTCAGCAAGACCAGTTCTGTCAACGTCTGTGATGGATGAGGAGGTAGCTCCACTTGCTCCTACTTGTGTAGCATTTGCACGTATTCCAACTGTCTTCCCTCTTCTAGTAATTTTCTGTTGTTGTGGCTTGCTTTTTACACCAAATTTTCCTTCTCCCTTCAACCGGTCCCCCCACCATTCAAGGTACCCAATCAATTGAAAACAGTTACTTGCAACATGTCCCGCTTTATTGTAGTTGGTACAAACCTGCAACTTGTCTTTCGAATCCCCTCGTCCTCTTCCTTTGACTTGTGCGGCCAGTCCCATGACTTCACTTCTTTCTTCTTTAGCTCTAGTAATGGTTCTCACACGCTCTTCTTGGATCATGGTTAAGTATACTCAATTTAGAGAAGGCAGCGGATCGTTGGCTAGTAGATTGGAACGCACTGTTCCATAAACAACATCATCTAAACCCATAAGAAATTGATGTAACCTTTCTTCTTCTCTTCGCTTGTCCAGTTGAGAGGTGATATCACATGTGCAGCTTCCACACTGGCACATCGGTGTCTGCTCATAGTTGTCAAGTTCATCCCATAAGGATTTAAGTTTACCATAGTATGCAGTGACCGTTAGACCACTTTGCTTGCAATTTGCAACAATTTGCAAGTTCAGACTTCAATTGATGAATCATTGGACCATTAACAATGGAGAATCTCTCTTTGATGTCTTCCCACAAGTCTTTGACATTCTCCGTATAAGAGATCGTAGAGCGCAAATTAGGCTCTATAGTGTTCAAAATCCATGACACAAGCATGGATTGGACAGTCCACCAGTCTTCTATCTCAATTGTTTCCTTCTTTGGCTATTCTACGGTCCCATCTATGAAGCCCCATTTTCTTTACGCATGTAGGGAGACACGCATGGCTCGTGCCCACTCCTCGTAATTTTCTCCTTTGAGCTGCACTTGGGTGATTACATTCCCAGGATTATCACTTGTGTTTAGATCATACAGGGAAACAACTCGCTTCCCACGATCCTATTTTTCTGCCATTGTAGAGCCGTCGTGCGCCAAGCAAAAATGTAGTAGCGTTTTAGCCCTTTAGGTGTGCTCTGATGCCATAATAAAATTGGCATTTGAAATTCGTGTGTATTGATCAAGAAAGGTACATCTGTATATATAAGAAAGAATCCTAATTTGATAAAGAAACAACCATATCTCCTAGATTGGCTGCAAACGATAATGATGATTGGTTGAGATTGATTTTCCCGTGTTTCCATAATTATTGCCGCAATGTACGTACTCGTAATATACGTACTCAATATTTGATTTTATATTATCCTATTACTCATGAGAATGACCCTAAAGCCTAAACTTGAACATGGAAACTTTTTTTTACAAGTGCCTCCACCGCTGGTGTTAAAGGAGGATGAGCTTATTCTTTGTCTATCTGAGTACTTTCACATTCCGATTCTATCACTTAACAATGAAACTTACAAAAATCATCCTTCTCTCTCTATCTATCTATCTATCTATCTATCTATCTATCTATCTATCTATCTATCTATCTATCTATATATATATATATA